AAGGTAAGACAACACCACTCTATAGTGTATAATAGCGTGTTTTTGTTTTGTTTTTTTTTTGCCCAAGAAGGCTTATATAACTAGCGTTGAATATTTTAGACTAGGCGTTGAATACTTTAGAATAAATTTATGACAGTGGAAACCGGTTAGGTACGCCTAGTGTTGTTGGGCAATACATAGTTGATTTACCCCAGTAAGGGAAGTATTAAAATTTATGTTTTTGTCGCATATCAAGCCTCGCCCAAAAGAAATGAAATAAAAGGGGGTTTAACGTCCTACTTTTCTAGTCTGATTGGACTAATGAAGACGGGTATACGCCATGCAGTGTGGCTTACTCTTAATTCGAATTGCAACTGTCAAGGGCTATTTTACGCGTACGCCAGTGGGTTTTTCGTCTCATCGGAACGAGACTTTACGTTGTTCCTTGTCAGGCCCCCTGTCCGACATCACGGACAACAGGGAACCAAACTGGATAATCTAGATAAACTCTCTCAGCCAACACCCATCAAACACTGGACCGTCTGGTTAGCGAACCAACGCAACGTCATACTCACTGAACTACCCAAATGAGACGAAATAGTGATCCATGGTTAGGTCAAGCGCCAGTAATTTAAAATATAAATATGTTCGACAACCGAGATCGTTAAAACACGATTGTTTGTCGGATGACCAATATATGTAATTGGTTTTAAATACTGTAATCAAAATAACCGTAAACTCGCGTGATTATTGACAATCTTAACAAAAGATAAAATCCAAATTTTAGTAGATACTTCAATTCTGATTGGCTAAGCCATAAAATCAATCTAATATTATCCAATCAAATTACTAAAGTTTGGATTTTATCTCAGTTAAAATTTCGTAAAACAGGCCCCAGGCCTACTTAGATTTAGACATTTAGCACGAGCGTCTCGGAACTCATAGACTGTTACAGTGTAGAGTGTGCGACTGTATCTCTGGAATGGGATGAGTCTCAGATATGGCAAACCATCTAAATACGATCAATGGAGGAGGGGGGGGGGCTAGTGGTCTAGGGTCACCTCTAGCTTGCGGTTGTAGGTTAGATTCCTGGTGTGAGCGTATGTTTACCTCGTGGGTTTACACCGGATACTCCGGTTTCCTCTAAGACAACTTGTCAGCGATATCACCCTCGGTGGAAGCGGACGTTAAACACTAATAGAAGAAGAACGATCAATGGAAGCCATGTTGAGGCGATGTCTCACTAACCTGGATGTTCCGGGACGGAGGGCCTAGCAAATAAAACAAAAAACACTGTATAAACTGAAGAACCTTTGACAGTTTTAATACAACTTGGAAAAAATGGAAACGCCTAGCACGCTACATGACATATGCGCGTTGGACCAGCTGGTGAAGAAAAGACAGGCGATGAACCCCATTTCATTTCATTTCCGCAAACGCCTCGCTTAAAACATAACTTTTCTTTTTTTGTTTCTTTCAGAATTGTATGTACTATTGATTTAAAATGGGCTGGACACTAGAATGTAATTTATTGCGTTCTTTGGCAGTGGTGCTCGCCGGGATGGGGTGTTTATTACATGGAATAGCCTTGTCTGTAACATACTGGGCGAACGTTATCCAGGGTTCTACTGGGGAATATGAGGTGGGATTATGGACCGATGGGTGTGTCAAATCGTGTATGCGAATCTTTGACTACAGCGATTTAGACGGTAAGATATATAGCCTATTGATATCCCAAATTTTCAGTAACCGGGTTTACTAAGAAATGCTCTAATTTTAAACAAGTACGGTAGCACCATATAGACCAGGGACTGAGTCATCGTTGCCATCTTAGAATTATGACGTCAATCGATGTGCAATTGTCCAAGGAACAAACAGCCCAAGTGTCATGTCCATATTACTAGAAGTGTGGAACCCTTAGACCTAGCCATGTGGATATACTGCTGGATTTGAACTTCTTGAATTGCCGAGATTTATTTATAATACATTAAAATGGCTAAACCCCAGAGTAACAGATAAAATTGTGTCGAGTACATTAGATTTTATATGTTGATTTGTGTCGATTTAATTTACACCTGTAAATAATGACAGGAGAAAAGAATGTAGTAGATAATATAATAGGTAGCCTTCGCAGGATATTGTTTAATTATTTGATTACCTTCATAAGGAAAATTAACTTAGAAATCACCAGAAGTTTCACTGTACTTTATTTCTTTCATATATAACCATGACGTCATGACCTGGTTTATAACTAATTCAACACTTGATTTCATAGCCCAGTATTTTGTAATAAGGGTTGGCGTAAAAGCCTAGACGAACCACTATTTTTGTAATAAAGGTTCGCTCTAAAGTCTATAAGACCCAATATTTTTGTGCTAAGGGATCACATCCTTAAAGACCCAGTATTTCTGTGTTAAGGGTGTAACATTTCAGCCTAGCAGGCCCAATATTTTGGTATTAGGGTTCACATATAATCGTCAAGGACCCAGTATTTCTGTGTTAAGGGTTAACATTTCAGCCTAGCAGGCCCAATATAAATGTATTAGGGTTCACATATAATCGTTAAGGACCAAGTATTTCTGTGTAATGGGATCATATCACAGCCTGGATTACCCAGTATTTTTGTGCTAAGTCATCATATGTGTATATAAGTCTAGAAGAACCACTATTTTTGTGCTGAGGGTTCATATATAGCCCTAAATGACCCAGGGTTCGTATAGGACACCAGAAAACCCTTTGTTGTAGTTGTGGCTTTATTTTCATTTGAACTATTAAATATTGAGCTATCTTGTCATTATAGGTTATTTTATGGGAACCCAAGCTTTTGTTATCCTTGCCTTGATAACTGGGATTGCAAGCATGCTTCTACCAGTGATAGGAGCCTTTATCAGCAACAAGACATTTTACATGTTTGCATTCATAGCCTGTGCTATAACAGGTAAACGTATATTATTTGGCATTGCAACAGATATCTCTACATGTATGAGAGTGAGAGAGAGTGAGAGAGATAGAGAGAGAGAGAGAGATTGTAGTTTCACGTCCACTCAACACAATCTAAGTCTAACATATGGTTCAATTTTATTTTAATAATTCGAAGTAGTAGTAAACCGGTTGACTCGGAGAAAACCAACGAAATTGGACAGGCGACCCCACCCCTTGTCATGTACACGCTTTGAATCGAACCCACGCCACTTGACTTAATGACAAACCTTACCATCCTCTCCCCTCCCCACCATTATGACATACATATTTCATTAAGACCACGAGAATAATAGCGAAGATTTTAAATGGTCTAGAATCCGCGTTATCAACTACCAAATTATGTCATTTTGATGTTTTGTCGAAGAAACATACATACGTACATATATTTACATATTTATTTTAAATTTCAGTTGTGTGTTTAATTATTGCGATGTCAATATTTGGAGGTATGTTTCCCGATTCGGTTCCAGCCAGATATTCGTGGGATTGGGCGTGGGGGTTTTATATGACCATTGGAAGCATCATATTGTTCATACTTAGTGCATTGTGTAATATTTATTTGACTAAAACAGCCAGTAACTATTTGGTCTAATATGATTGGGCGGTGCTGTGAACTGAAAGATACATTTATTGTGGACACAGATCGTGTTTCTATACGTCATTTTAGACGGCAAACACTTTCGCGTTGATATCTATATGTGACGTAGCCGAGATAGTCTGCTATAATAGTAATACCATGGACGGTATGCTTTTTCTGAACTGTGTAGGCCTAATGATGTCGGAGTAGCGTTGGGATGTAGGAACAAACCCATGGTCATCTAGCATGTGATACAGTTCTGCCCGGGAAGTAATCGTGTGCTACTTTCAATTTAGCTTTTGTTTTCCTTTATTTTTATCTGGTAGAAACAGTTTGTCACGTGGTCAGTATGTTTAAAATGTCTTTATATTAAAGAGCGTATAGACTATAGCTATATTCTTCGGAAACTTAAAATATAACAAAATGCATCCAAAAGCACATATTAATGTAATATGAGTGTATATAAACCGATTTACATTCAATTTTTATTTTAATTTGTAATCAATTATGTCCGGTGAAATACGTGAACAGTCCAAATTGAACGGCAGACGTTTGCGCCTACGATGTAGTGTAGTGATTTTATTATGTTAATTGTGTCTTCAAAATTGAATATTAGGATCCGATACGATAACGATAACAATATTGATTGAAATGGACCAATATTGAATTCTAATTCGTGCTTTTAACATCTTTCATATAATACAAACGTGTGGAGCAAATATTTGTTACAGGCTTCCCCCTTCGCCCCCCCCCTCCTCCCCTGCAAAAAGTCCCCCCCCCCCTCCCCGTGAAAAACTTGTCGACCATAAAAACAATAGATATACATTGTCCGTCAATTTTACAGCACCCCTCAGAACACTTCCCTCCCCATCGTTGTTCTGAGCTAGTTACGGCCCTGATTTGTAAGCTTTGTTAGCTTCTGAAATGAGAAGTGATATCGGGTGTTTTAGACATAGAGCATATCGTGCCACTGCATGGTACCCGTTAATACTTATACCCGGGGCGATAGTTTGGGCTTGGATTTCTGAAGCCGAAGACCGCTCGGTTTAAGGTAGCCTGTCAACTAAAGGACACCAGTTCATCAGTGGTTTAAAAACAAAATGGTGGGATTGTGTATGCAATTACACCAAAAATTGGGCAACATAGGTTTGGGCTCTTTCTAAGATTTCACGGGTAAAGGGAGATAATCTGGCTTTACCTTGGAAGAGAAGGCGGAAAAGTCGCTCCCCGTGCCGGGCAATACCCTCACCCCCCCCCCCTCGCAATGCGCATGTAATCATAGAAATAAAACAAATAAAAAGACTTAGTCGCAAAATGGACGCGATAAATTCGATTTTTTCAGTTTCTGTTGATATTTGTTTATTTGTAGATGTTGTTTTGGGGGTTATTTTTGTTTGCTTGCGTTTTTTGTTTTGTTTTGTTGTTTTTTTGGTGGGGGGGGGGGTAATTAAAACAAATGATCTTTAAAAACAAGCATATATTTAATTGACATTCAGATGGCTACCATACAAGATGAAAAAAACATGATCGAAATCACTAAAGATGAATAAATCTAAAATTCACAAATTTACAAAATAAAGTGAAATGAATTACTAATATTAAATTTTGGGAATCTTGGCATAAAATCAATTCTATTTGTTTGCAGTCTAAGGAAATAATATTGTACTAATATTGTACTATTGTACTAATTGTGGATATAAAAAAAAATAATAATATACGTAATAATAATAGATAGTTTGTGGAAACGGACATATCAACTCTCATATACGACGTATTCAACGGCTTAAACAAAACTCCGTGTTTGGTAAATATTATGAACAAGAAGACACTCGACATTTTTCAGACCAGGCGGGCGCCTCTAGAGCTGACAAGAACAATGTGTTTTGACGTGTGCTCATTGATGTACACCCGTGGATACTAATATGGTGAAAGGTGTCATTCGAACAAATATGAGCATGGTGCTATCGACCAATTTCAACAGCTGAAACGTTAATGACATCATAATTCTGCTCACACCACATCTATTTTCATGGAACTCGATTGGGATTCTGTACGTACGGGAAGTTCCTGAAGTTACATTATAAGTAACATTATATATAGCATTATAAGTAACATTATATATAGCATTATAAGTAACATTATATATAGTATTATAAGTAACATTATTTAAATAGCATTATAAGTAGAATTATATATCACTAGCATTATATATATATATCACTAGCATTATATATATATATATAACTAGCATAATATATATATATATATATATATATAACTAGCATTATAAGTAACATTGTATGTTACTAGCATTATAAGTGACATTATATATAACTAGCATTATAAGTGACATTATATATAACTAGCATTATAAGTAGAATTATATATAACTAGCATTATAAGTAACATTATATATAATATTATAAGTATTATTATTTATATAGCATTATAAATCGCATTATAAGTAGAATTATATATAACTAGTATTGTAAGTATCATTATTTATATAGCATTATATGTAGAACTATATAGAACATTATAACTAACATTGTAAGTAGCATTATAAGTAAGATTATATAAGTTTTAGTTATGGGTAAAATATAGGACTAGTCTGTTCTTCAATCATTTCTCATTTCATGTGAATAAAATATTGTTTTTAAAAAAAATCAGTTTTAACGTAAATATCAATAATTATCCATCAAGTTTTTGTGTTCAATTGACGTTTAATGTTGATATAAAACTTTCACTTTTAATATTTTAGTAAATATTTATCTAAATTCCATGATTATGATTCGACAGAAATGAAACGATCAGTGGTCTCTAGGTTATCTTATATACACCATGTAAGTAGTGACACCGTCTGTCCGTAACCGGAAGTACACAATTAACACCCGTAGTAGTCACAAACATCAAGGTGACAATACTAAAGAGCAAATTAAACATGGTTGGTATTAACATGTTTGACGTAAAGGTATGATGTATTCCGGTTAAACGTGTTTTAAATGTCCAGTCTTCGCGGTCCATGGTTAATTCGTTTCGTCGTTCTCATTGGCACTGTCGTCGCCGTTGTTCTTTTCTCTGCTTCTTATTCGATATTTTGGAATGGGTCCTGGTGGCGAACCCCTATTCCATGTCCATTTCTGATTATCTTTCCCAGTACACTCTAAAAGGGATAGAATCCTAGATTTGCTATCCACATACAGATCCAAACATTTCCTGGAGTCAGCGTGGTAGATTGTGTCGTCCTGAAGAAAATTTGTTAAAAAAATACAAATATACAACTTAAAATTGAGTTGAGTAACGAATAAAATTGTCGATTTGATTGGATTTTATATGTTGATTTCTTATATGTGATGACTTATTTGTCTTCTTTGAAAATGTTGACTCGGTGGATAAAGCCAGCGTTGAGTTATAACCGGTTTTGTGTTCCAATGTCGAAATAAAACTAACAACATTAAACAAGGCGACTTCCGCTTAATCGTTCGTTACAAACATCTAATCGATCTAATCGTATACAGCTGTCCACATCAATAATCGAAAACAAAACACATCGGATTACCAGTACCTTCTGTTTTAAAAATCTAAATCCAAAGATTTAAAAGATTTAGTCCAGATAATGATTTAGATACAGTGATTTGCGGCATAACGTATACGCTTCCAAACCAGTTGTCTTACCTCCCGATATTCAAAATGTTTACGAGGAACGTCATTATTATCGTCACATATGGTAAGTGTGATATTCGACTCATGTTGCTGCGCCCAACATCCTCGCAGTCGTCTGATCTGCCCATAGTTACACAGGTACCACAGCTGTAAATATAAATATAATGGCTACACAGTACATATTGTTTACCGTGTTGCACTAAACAAAGGGGCATTTAACATGAATCTTACTTTTCTGCACCAACCGGGAAAAGATGGGCCTCTGATATCCAATATTTAAGACAAAATAAACATTTTACCATTGGTGCACGATTCGTGTACCATAATGCGTTTCAGCGGCATTTGTGGGTAAGACGCTGGCTCGCTAGCCTGGAGGTCGGGTGTTCGATCCCTGCATTGGCCGAGAAAGTTCATCCAGATTTTCCGGCGTCGTTCTCCCTTGTCAGTGATGCAGGACGGAGGGGCTGACAAGGAAAGCTGTCTAGTCGTTCGGACGAAAAACCGAGGTCCCGTGTACACATTGGCGTGCAAGTAAAAGATCCCTTGACAGTTGGAATTCGATATAAGAGTAGGCCGTAGTGCCGCTGTCCGGGCAAAATTTCCCTCATAGCACACTGTATGGCGTATGCCCGTCTTCATTAGCCCAGTTCGGAGCAAAACAGTAGGATGTTAAACCCCATTTCATTTCATTTTCAGCGGCATTTGTAACAAGGGACTCAAATAGTTGACTCTACACTCCACAGAGACATAGTAACTAAATATGCTGTACCTGATTGCCCGCTCTGCCATGACAACCGTAAACCGACACATGTAGTTTTCCAAATATGCTCTCTTCGTCACTCGCGTCAACACAAATCGATTTATGCTGCTTGTTTCTTATCTGAAATTAAATTAAATAAAATGAAATGGCATGGGGTTTAACACAATGTATAGCTTGCTTAGCAAAAAAGTTTAGACAAACTAGTCATTATGTTATCCAATCACAATTGAGAATATAGTTGATCTGTTTCTATATTATGATATATAACGACATATAACAATAAACTGATAGAACGACGAACCGGAGAACCCGAAAAAAAACCACGAGTTTATACTTACGACCCCACCCCTTTCGACATACAGGCCACTTGAATAAAATAACAGGCCTTATGATCTGGAGTTCATGTTCATACAACAAACACGTGGGTTTAGAAAGTATTTTAAACTTTACTTACCTCCCCATGAGTGAAGCATTCTCCCGGAATAAACATGTCCGGCTTCACATTTTCTAGATACCATTCAAAACTCTGACATTGTAGTTTATTTCTTAAAGCAATCCTTTCTGAAACATCTCCGATATCAGCCTTTTAAAAGAATTTAAAAAAGCAGTGTGAGCTTCCCTTATACATGAAAAGCGTTATTTAATCTTCCAGAAAAAAATAAACAAAATTCTGATAAGATAAATTCAAAATAAATGGAATCTACAATATCGTCAGAGAGATTTTCGTTTATTCAGTTGCTGAGGCCCAACTTCGACATCTAAATCTTCGAAATATTGCCAGCATTTGATAAGAGAGAAATGGGGTTTAACATCCACATGGCGTCTGAGGGGATTAAGAGTGTTTTCGATAATTGGCAAAGTCTTTTTTACGGGAGGTCGATTTTGGCGACTTTGAGTGAAGATAGCTGAATTAATTATAATCAGATTGATGTGAACTTGCCGTAAAGTGGATATAGTAACCATTGGCTACACATACCGAAAAATTTCCAGGTCCATCTTATGTGCACTTTAACGTCCCTTCAGAACTGACATAATATGCTACAATATTAGTTCAATTATACGCTCCAGCGTGTGGGTCTTTAGCAGTGGCAGGAAACCGGTTGGGCAGATAACCCTACTACTTATCACGTACACGCTTGGGGTCTGAAGTAATAATACTTTTAATGATAAATATGTTTAACCTAGTTATCGTACATCCATTATATCCATAATATAGACCGCAGTAAAATAAAACGTTTAACAATAAATATGTTTAACCTAGTTACCATACATCCATTACAGTCAGGGCCCTTATTCACGAAAACTTAAACTAAGTTACAACCGAAATTTTAAGAAATACTGCAACTTCATTGGATATATGCAAATTGATTTTACTGGTCAGCCAATCGAATTGCAGTATTTCTTAAAATTTCGATTGTATCTTCGTTTAAGTTTTCGTGAATAAGGGCCCAGAACTGTTTATACACGTTTAAGCCGTAATCATGACAAAGGGCGATCACTCGCAGCATTATAAATCGTTTAATGATAAATACGAAAAATCTAGTTACCGCGCAGCCATTACATAACTGTTTGTGATATACACCATAATCATCTAACCATACTTCTGTTAGACGTAGAAGATTTCGATCCAACACTGAACCTTGTGATGAATTGCCCCAATTATAGGGTAGTCTCCCTTTGTAAACATGGCCGACATGTGAACATCCCAATTGTTCTACTCTTCCGCCGCACATCCATGCCTGTAAATCAATCATACTTATCAAAAAGAAAAGTTATTAGTTGAGAACGAATGAATAAAATGGAGTTTAATATGCTAATTTTCTGCTCAAACAGAACTATGTAGTGTGCTCTGAGGGAAATTTGCCCGGACAGCAATTGAATTCCAGTTGTTAGGGGCTCTTTTAAGTGGACGCCAAGGTGAACACAGGATTTCGAGTTTTCGTCCCATCCAAAAGGTAAATCCTCCGTCTCATCCTTACATACAAGCCACAATTTATCAGTTTTACCAATTTTATGTAATTTAGATATTATCCATACTATATTGTGGGCTATTTTATAATCTAATTCGACCATTCTAGAATCTTTAAAACACAGAAAGACATTTCTCCAAACACTTTTCCAGTGGACATTAAAATTAAGACTTACATAAAATGTTATACACATTATCTAACTGTAAGTTTTAAAATAATTTGTAGTGAGTTGTTTGGGTATTATAACTTGGCCCTTAATATTGAATATATACCCTTGCTTTTTTTCCCAGTATAACATTCATTATTAATAATGTTTACCCAGTCCTGTGGTATAGATACTAATATAATATTACATAATTTAGTTATCTTAATTTAGTGTATAATATCAATAATAATGTGCACATGCATAAAACCGGTCTTCACATAACATATAATATCTACGGTGGCCTTTTAGTGCCATACGTTGATTTATACCTTTTTCATCTGATTTACCTCATATAAGAAATCGCAGTGAAAACTATGATAAATCAAAAAAAAACATGAAAAATCTTTTCTCCGCCGTGTAAACCTTTTCTCTTTCTCCGCGGTATAAACCTTTTCTCCCCGGTATAAAGTTTTCTCCGCGGCATAAAGTTTTCTCCGCGGTGTAAACCTTTTCGCCGTGGAGTAAATCTTTTCTCCGCGGTGTAAACCTTAAACAATTTCATACTATCCACAATTCAGTAGTCTGATTTCTTGCAAAAAAGAGTAATTTAATTGTTTTTGATAAAATATAAACAGGTACCTTGAAAGATATTTCTAAATTTTCTGCTCCCCAGATAAAATAACCCTCATCAAATCGACCAATTTCATCAAAAAATCTTCGACTTATTGCTATCAAACAACCAATTAATGTAGGACTCCTGTAAAATATAAAACATTTTCTTACAGTAATCATGCACAGTAGAGTCTTATGAAATTGGAAATGAATAATCGAAATGGGGTTTAACGTCCGACAGTGTGCTATGAATTATTACGTTTTGTCTGGACAGCGGCGATACGACCGACTCGCCTTTTAAATTCCATCTGTCAAGGGTTCTTTTATGTGCATGCCAATGGGACCTCGCGATCATCTGGTGTGTTTTCCTCTTGTCAGCAGTGCAGGGGGAGGATCTAGCAAGGATCAGCGAACACGTTGGTGTACACGTACAAGAATCCTTAGCAGTTGGAATTCAACGAAGAATGTGAATCTGCATGGCATTTGCTCGTCTTTATTAGAGAGATTCAGATGCACTCCGAGATCGAGGGGATTCCCTTTTTGCATTCTACGTCATCAGTTCTCGAGGGCTTCCCCCACGCCGGCAGACGATCTCGCTAGTGAAAACATCTTGGATCCTCTGAAGCCGTAAGCGAATTCCGTTGTGGTTTAATTCTATTTTAGACAATCGTTCTCATATTTATACCGAAACGCATTCCTTTCAATTATACCAACCTTTGTTAGGTACTGTTTGGTTGGTCGAATAAAAGCGAAATGATAGAACGAATCAACACTTTCAAACTGTGCAATTTTTTCTCAATTCATCTGAACTGATCATCGCGTTTCGTCAAGAATACGGATTTTTTTTAACCGTGAAAGTGCGTCACGTCTTCCCAGAACGACGACGACTTCACCTCGTTCACGTTCTTGTTCTCGGAACGCATCTGAACCTCTCTATTATCCCGGTTCGAGCAGAATTGTGAGGGGTTAAACCCCATTTCACTTCATTTTAATTATAATATATACGGTACTCAAGCTATAACAGTTATTCTATATTTGGTAATCATTGAAATGAAATGAAATGGGGTTTAACGCCCTACTGTTCTGCTCCGAACTGGTTTAATCAAGACGTGCATACGCCATACAGTGTGCCATGAGGGAAATTTTGCCTGGACAGCGGCACTACGGCCAACTCTTATATCGAATTCCAAGTGCCAAGGGATCTTTTACGTGGACGTCAATGTGTACACGGGAAGTCGGGTTCCTCGTGCCATCCGAACGACTAGACAGCTGTCTTTGTCAGGCCATCCGTCCTACATCACTGACATGGGGGAACCACGCCGGAAAATCTGGATGAACTTTCTCGGCCAACGCAGGTATCGAACGCCCGACTCCAGGCTAGCGAGCCAGCGTCTTACCCACTTACCCACCGTGATCACCATTTGGTAATTATTATACGGTATTATACTCCTTATACGGCATTTAGTAATTGAATATAATATTAAAACACAATTTACATGAAAAACAATCACCGTTTTATTTCACACTAATTACTTGAGAACGACAGGAAGAACTTGTTGAAACGTAGTGTGATTGTTTTCCATATAAATTGTGTTTTAATACGGTATTATCATAGGCGGACGGGCTGGATGACTGTTAGGGGGGCAGAACCGGAAATGCCCGAAAAAATTTTGGGTTAGCGCCCCTTCCCCTCATACACAAAAAAAATGGGACAAAAGCGTTTTCCTGCTATTGTAGCCCGTGAATACAGCAACTAATGAATCGTTTACAGTTCACGGAAACGGGACTGTCGGGAGAAAATTTTGAAAATTTAACTGCTGCAAATGCGTTTTCCTGCTATTGAAGCCCTTGAATACAGCAACTTCAATGTGGTCCAATATAGCCTACCTTAGGTGGCTGACCCGAATCGCATCCTGGAAAATTTTTTGAAAATGTAACCGCCACAACTCCAAAGTTGTCCAATGGATTTGTAACCGAAATCCCACTCAATGCCGATCTGAATTCCAACCATTCAATCAGACTGTAGCAGCTGTATTCACAAATAATAATCGATGCCCGAAAATGTTTTAATCCATAGTCAATTCAGTACAAATTCGTGGTATTCAATTAAAAGAAAAGTAAAATTGGTGTTTTATTAGATTTCATGCACTTTATTTTGCCAACTAGATGAAATAAAAAAATTTTTCACTTGACCCAAAAGTATTATAGTACTGGGATTTACTAACACAGGATTCATAAATTCTTTACTTACTTTACTGGTGCTGTCCTGTCTCCCTCATACTTGACACGAGTCCATTTAAATAATAACCTCCAATCAAACGTCCCGATAGGACTGGTGTCGTCGATTTGATATGGTCTGTATTTGAAATTTGTTCCCTCTATGACGTCCATGATACCCGTGGCCACTATTCTGTCATCTGTAGCTATTCGATCCAATAGAGGTTCGATCCAGCCTATAAAAGCCCATGGTATGTATTTAAATAATCTCGAACATTCCAGTCTATATTGTCTCCGCCTCGACTGTATCAAGCTGGGATGTTTGGGACAATATTAGTTTGAATCAACGTGGATAAGTATAAAACCGGAAGTTAGGAAACACAATTGTAACAGAGCATCTAAAATTCGATAAAACTAGTAAATAACCTTCCAAGCCAAACTCAGGCATGAAAGTGTTCTAGAAAGAGTAAGCATAGCCTGCCACATACACGAACCTTGTAAAGTAACATCGACACAAGCCTGTAAACCAGGTGTACATTTTAAATATTTCCATACACTTCTAGTCGTCCGGGAACGTTTTTAAGTGGACGAAGATTCTCAACTTGAAGTTCTTACGAGTGATAATAAGCCAGAATATATAGTATGAGAGAGGCTCGTTTGGGGTGGGATACGTCCTAAGGTATACTATGTTTTCAGCAATCCCCCTTCAACACGGATAACGACCACCACGTTAGGCAGGTGACGTTACTGTCTATCACGTATTAGCATGGGATCGAAATGACGACACTTGAATCGATGAGACTCCATGAGGTCTAAAGGGTGCTATTTTTGTCACGTTCGAAGGCCCGGGCGTTAAATCACATGGCCACACCTTTCCCATCATACCTCTTTATTTTAACCTTACTTCTTTGGCTTTCTCAAACTGTGATATATAATCCTCTAGAGGGCGTGACCGGCCCCAACCTATCCCACCCCATCCCCGGTATTAATTTAAAACAAACCTTTAGTGACCTCACAATGTGAATCTATAAAGACTACAACTGGAGCCGTTGATATAGCATATCCATTTAATCTGGTTCTAATCAAACCACCTCTTTCTTTTAATCTTACTACTTTCACTTTCTCAAACTGTGATATATAATCCTCTAGAGGACGGTGAAGATGCTCTGTCATATAAAACAAAAATATCCGTTATTAGGGAAAACAGAGAAGTCTTAAGAAATAGCGGTGACTCTATTTCATGATAGAGAAAAGCACCCGTTCTTGAAAGAATTACGTTCTGAAATAGGAAAATTGAGTAATTTCATAGAGACAACCATGGGCGAATTATAGAATGGTGACGCTGTGTCAAGGTTGTATTGGAAAATAGCGGGGGCTTAAATCAAGGCGTATTCGGGAAAGACATGGGGAAATGACAGAGCTTGAATCAGAAGCGTATTAGGGAATGGTGGGGCTTAGATCAGGGGCGTATTAGGGAATACCGTGTTGTTGTTTTTTGTTTTGATTTGTTTTTTTAAATTCTGCAGATAAAGCAGCGGGCCGTTAGTCGTAGACTTTATATAAAATCATAAGATATTTACCCATTGTAGAAGCATCGTCTGACAGGATTATTTCTCTCACTAAATGCGGAGGTGTTCGATTTAAAATACTATGAACTGTCCGTAATAATGTTGACCACGCTTCGTCTCGGAAGGGTATGATGATGCTGACTTCCGGAAGATCTGTTCTGAACATGTAAGTTTTATTCTTACATCTGAAAACAAAGTTCAATGTGTGGTAAATTTTAAGTGTTTTTAGAATGACATTAGCGAAAATAAATATTATATGACTCAAATATAGCCCCACACTCCCCAGCCTAAAAGGCTGTGATGGTTTGGGTGAGGCTTTTGGTTTAGGGAGTTAGAATTTGTATACACTTTTACACCAACTGCATGCGACAACATATTAACTTTTGAGGGCAATTATGATACTTATTATTGCATAATCTGGGAAATCATACTTATTCGCTAATGATACTATACATACCCTGGCTAACAACAACCCGCAAGTCTTCTCTCTCTAAAGATACTTACTCTGGTCAGCGACAAAGAGTGGAATCATGCTTATACTGGCCAAGAAAAATCAGGGAAATCATACTTACTCTGGCCAGCCAAGATCATGACAAGCACAACACGTACTCTGGCCACCGATAAACAGGACAAGCATAACACTTACTCTGGCCAGCGATAATTAGTGTGGTCAGCTATAAACAGGGCTAACATACTTACTCTGGCCAGCGATAATCCGGGAGCCGTCTCTCTAATGATACCATATCACTTATATACTGATTAAAACCATTATTCTTCCAACCTTCTTTTACTTTCACCTTCTGTTCATCTGTTAAATCATTCTCATTTAAAGTATAACCTTTCCCCATTTCACCTGTTAGATAAAAGTATATTACTTATAACGTTGTTGTTACAGCAGTATGATTGAAATACAGATCTATATTTCGTTTCGTTTTTTTTATACTTTCGATGGCCTACACTACACGAAGATCTGACCGGTTGTAGTAAAAGGTGGCGTCAGAGGTCGCACAAACGGCTTTTGACCCTATGGCGCCAGACATTGATTAATCAATCAGCGTTGACGTTTATAGTGGTTTACCCACAGTTCCGTGCATCCCACGCCAAGAAGTCGCCATAACAGATGGTTTCATTGGCTAATCCCCCACGCTATCCAGAACGCAGGTTATATAACAGCTCTTCCAGATCCTAGTGTAGTACAGACAAGTAAAACGAAATTTTGAACTATAAAAAACGAAACGAAAAGGGATCTGTGTTTTAATCAGAGTGTTGTTACAGAGAGTCCGATCAGAAGCCCGGTCAGTATACCCCGATCAGAAGCCCGGTCAGTATACCCCGATCAGAAGCCCGGTCAGTATACCCCGATCAGAACCCCGGTCAGTATACAGAATGAAAAGAAATCAAAAGATTCAATGGGGTTCAATTTCCTACTTTTACTACTAGGCCAATGTGTACCCGGGACCTCTGTTTTTGGCCCCATCCGAATGACTATATGTTGTCCCTTGCCAGACCTTCTGTTCTGCACCACTGATTAGAATGGAAAGGGTTATCTCGCTACCCTAAATTGTTTTTGAGCCAGGAACAGGTTCCTTAAAGGGCGTATAGCTCTATTCTTTGAAACCTTAAAATAGTTGACTAAGCACATGTTTTACTAGTCTCTATCATCCAGAAAAATATTCTACGAATATTAGTCTGGACAGGTTGTCAACATTTGAGAAAAATTGGCTAGATAATCCGGTCTTTCACATTATTATAAACAATGTCTAAGTGAGGTAACTCCTCTTAAAACAAGATGTTTACGCCCATGAAATTAATTTAAGAATGTCATTTCAAAAAATCCATTTGATTGCATGCGAGTTCAATATCTAATACTCTTAATTTTTTATTGTAAAATTTGCCTCTTCATGGGCCATATCTATGCTTTAAAATTATTCCTAATTCGTCGTCACGATTCATGTTTGTTTATATTAATGCAAGAATTATGGGATTTATTGTGTGAAGGGGCGCAACTCTTACTTGACCTTGCTAAAGAGACTGGATAATCAACCACATTAAAAACCAAACCCCCGGTTACGCATGGGCAATGGACTTTACGTCAAATATTGACAACCTTCCCAGACCCTCCGTATGTTGAAGACTAGGAGGTTCTGGGTCACCGAGACTAATGTTTTACTGTTAATGTAACATGAATGTATAGAAGTGATTTATATTAAATGTTTAAATTGTTATTGTAATGTATAATCAATTATGTTAGGTAAAATATTTGAACTGTCAGTCGTTTTGGTCTGCTTAGTCCATTCTACACGTTTTTTTTTTTTAAAAAAATCATTATTTTGTCGTTTTTGAACCACCCATTACTTTTTACTTCCGCATTGCCTTGTAGGGTATATTTTTCTTTGTTCATTTCAAATTGCACCCGGAACCACAGAGTACATGACTCGTGTACAGATTTGTGTTTTGAATTTTGAATATTAGGACCCTATATTTTCACGGCAAGATAACAACGGCAAAATGAACTAATACTATTGCTGTCCTTCACTGTAATACCAAAAAGGGTGCTCCAGACGTTCTAACTAAAACAATAATAACCTAGCAAAGAAGATTTTGGGGCTCATCTATTGTTGATTTTCTTATCACGCTAAAGGAGGGACAAAACGTCATCGATATCTGTAATAAGTCATTCATATACGACTTCTGGCCATTGATTGGGATTTCTGCCTTTTCTTCAAACATAATGGGCACATGACAGTCAGCTAATCGAACGGCCTTTAATCCTACCCCTTCGCTTGTCCCTTGGGAACAAAAGTAGGACGTTAAATCCGATATCCTGAGATGTGGGTAAAGAACAGCCATGTTCAATACATACACGAGTTATCTCCCTTTAGTTACGGTTTGTTAGGGTGGTAATGATCTATAACATTTTTAACCAACTCAATCAATAAAAACTGGTACATTTTTTTATATTCATGATCGCTGTTCAACAATGGAAGTACATTCTATACGACATCAAACGACAGCTGTAAGTGAAGTGTAAATGTCCATTCGGGAATTGAAAATGGAAGATGGTGTCGGCTGGGAAAATAGGGCGGACGGGCATGCGCCATCAACATATAATCATGTGCTTGAGATGAATTTCACTTATGATCTTCTTTGATTGGTATTTATTAATTGAACATATTTACACAAGGCACAATTTATGGATACACAATTACTGAGTTTAAAGGCTCAATACCACTCTTGTTGTAACTGAATAATATGTCCCAATCTTTATTCTGGTCAACAAATTGTACTATTTTAGAATATTTCAATTAATTGATGATACAAATTTCATCTTAACACACCTTATTTAAAAATTTTGAAAAATTCAACATAATGGTTTGAAACGTCTAACGTAAACCTTTTCAAATGAAACTTCGATTTAAAAATATTTTCGAACCCTCTGGACAAGAAAAATAGGATGTAATGGATAATTTACACAACAGGTAGGACACTTAAACATCTAGTACTTAGATAGAGATATTATTTATTTTTTGGAGCTTTCAAGCCAGCAAGAGTGTTATTGTCCCTTTAATACTAGTTTTCTTGATAACGTCGCTTAGTATTAAAGTCAGTAATTGTGTATCCATAAATTGTACAGTGTGTCCATTGATCCTTTAAACGTTTTACTAGTCAGAGACTATTGATACTGTCATCGCACCTATCTTTCATTGATAATTATTTTTAGTTAATTCAGTTAAAAGAACACTGCGGTTGGAATTCGATATAAGAATAGGTTGTAGTGCCGCTGTTCGGGAAACATTTTCGTCATAGCACACTGTATGGCGTATGCCCGTCTTCATTAGCCTAGTCGGTGCAGAACAGTTAAACCTTATTTCATTCCATCTGTTTTCTGCGTATCGCAATCTGATTAAAACACATATCCTATTTCGTTTCGTTTTTTATAGATCAAAATTGTCTTTACTACACTAGGATCTGAAAGAGTTGTTATCTAACCTGCGTTCTGGATGATGTGAGGGATTAGCCAATGAAACGGTCTGATGCGGCGAGCTTTTGGCGTGAGGTGTACGGAACTGTGGTTACCCCCCTAGAAACATTCAACGCTGATTGGTTAATCAAATGTCTGACGTCATAGGGTCGAAAGCCGCTGGTATGACCCCCTGACGCGACCTTCCATTCCAACGGGTCAGATCCTCATTTAGTAGAGGCCATCGAAAGTATAGAAAAAAACGAAACGAAATATAAATTAGTATTTTATTCAGATTGCGAGTATCGCAGACGAAGAGTGTACAGAATTAAAGGGAAATGATTTGTGGCTGTTATATAACACGTTATATATTTATAAACAGTCACAGCCACGGCTGTTATATATATAACACCTTATATTTATAAACAGTCACATTCAATTCTTATGGCGATGACTTGTGCGTCTTTGCCGTGGAAACTATTTTGACAGTAGATAATTAACATTTAAAGGAACCCTCAACGCCATGGAATGGAATGGGGTTTAACGACCCACTTCTCTGTACCAACTAGGCTAAAGATGGGCATACGCCATACATTCTGCTATGCCGGAAATTATCAACTGAGCGACCACGGCTCCAACAGAAGACAAAGAAATAAAATGAAATTAAATGGGGTTTAACGACTTTCTTTTCTGCACCAACCGGAATAATCAAGGCCAGCATACGACATGCAGTGTGCAATCAGAGATGAATTTTGCTCAGACAGCGGCTTTTTCGTCTAATCTGCGGCGAATTCCAACTGCCAACGTGGTACAATAGACCTCCATGACTAGCCGCTGTTTCGTGCCATGCCCTCCGCCCTACGGTTGCTGACAAAAAGAAACCAAGTGGGAAAGAGTCGAGGTACCCCCTCGGTCAAGTCCCATGGGCCTTCTGACTCTGGTTACTAGTGAGCATGCGGCTTTCTCATTGACTTATCAATGAACTATGAATTTTGCTAGTTTCATTTTTAAAAATAATAATAGAATGATGAGATAAAGCATGACTTGCCTGGGGCGTTTGGGTCTATCTCTCGTACAACTTCGTACGCATTATCACTCCAATCTGGACCGAAATGTTTGGCCACGGGAATATTGTTTTCTTTCACCTCCTCCTCGACATGTTTTTCAACCTTTTCTTTCTTTAAAGAATCTCGCGATTTATCCTCTAATTTATTGATTTCCTGATCATAAACATCGCCAATTTCCTTAATAGTATCATGTTTGGACATTTGTTCGAAGAAATAGAATGCCCAGAGAAAAAAACACAGCATCATCGATAACAGGGCATATCTTATGTATGTTTTAGCCATTTTGTCTTTAAGGTCAAATAAGTCTCTTTCCTTTTGAACACAATTTTGATAATTAATTCCTTACTAAGAAACTTTTAACGTCTTTGATTGTCCATCACACACAAATCTAAATGATATTTCAGAAGCTACACATTTCTGTTTCGTTACAGAACTCCAAATTTACTTCCAAATATTCCGTCTATTATTATTACTTTTGCCTAATATTTATCATATTATTGGCTTGCTAGAAGTCACCCAGGCTGTTAACAGCTGTTTACTCAAACCTTTCGTTAAATCAATTTTTGTCGTATTTAAAATGAGCAGAAGTGAATTTCTCAAAATGGCGCCATACGGTCAACGTGGAAACATCGATATAACGTGTTAACGATACAGATTTACACAATTTCATAATTTCTTTTTATCAATATGATACTTTAAGGTAGGCATATAATTATTAATTAATACCTTTTCTTTTGTTAATATAAAATATCTTCAGGTGTTTTATTAAACTGCATATTGCTATAGTAGTGCTTTCATATATATTTATATAAGAATTTAAGAGGATCATTCAGATTTTTAGATCGATATTCAAATTCCTCTCAAGATGTTACAAGTTTCTCAAGTTTGTGTTGTTAAAATTATAAGCTACACGTCTTATATCTTTAAAGGTACAATGCATATGCACAAATAAAAACTTGGCTTTCTTCGTAGCTCAAGTGTTTTTTTTTAGTTGATTTAAAGAATGTATTATGAATTCCGAAGCTATCGTTTTAAACTTGAGTTTGATTCGGTTGCTGTTAATGATCAATTAAACTATGCAATTCTAAAAAGGATCAATATATATTTTTCGAACAATATATATCGAATCTATTATAATAAAAACCAAAACAAATATGAAATGGGGTTTAACGTACTACTTTTCCTTTACGTATATGCCAAGGTGAATACGGGGCCTCATTTTAAGTTGAACGGAAATGTAGAAGCGGATGTTAAACTCCAGCTTGTAGTAGTAAGAGACCTGAGAGCTACTCAAACTAGGTCACTTCGGGACTAACATATGGTCCAATTTTAGGTCAATAATTCGCTTGCGCGTAGAGGTATTTAGCACTGGGAGGAATCGGGGGACCCGGAGAAAAACCACGAGGTTGGACAGGAGACCCTACTCCTTGTCACGTACAACCATACGTTCACCCAATCCTAGGAAACCTAAGTATGGTCTAAATTTATAAGACTACCTATAATAGTGTAATACTAATACCGATCGCCATTTTACACATACAAATGAAAAATTATCAAAAGTATACGACATTACCTGAGGTAGAAGTTGACGTTAATAGTAGGAAATTATTGTGTAAATAAAATAAAAGACAAAAGGAAATATTGTATTAACATTTGTCAACATATTATACTTATTTCTCAATTTATTTTTATGGACTTTAAATGTCCTTTATGGTCGATATTTATATTATTTAATTTTTGTACTTATCCCAGATAGTGATATATTGCATTTACTTTTTTACTGATAAATAATGACAATAATCGTCTAATTCCAATGTCATTAAAGTCATTAACAGAAACTTGCCAGAAGAAGCCACCAAATAGGCTTGATCCGGCTTATTTGGATAAGACAAAATGACTTTGCAGGTAAGCGCCCAGGGTATATTGCATCCTAAGGAGGGGCTCCGGGTGTAAGAAAGGAAAGAATGGCGAGAGTGACTGTCGGGATACTTTTGTTTTAAAGTCATTGTGTCAACTGGCGTGGGTTCGATTCCCCGGTTGTACGGGACAAAGAGTAGGATCGCCTTTCAACCTCGTGGGTTTTCTCCGGCTCCCCCGGTTTCCTCTCACTGCTAAAGACCGCTACGCCCAAGCGAATTATTGAAATAAAATTGAACCATATGTTAGTCCCGCAATGACCTAGTTGTTTGTGTCGACTGGACGTTATACCCCCCCCCCTCTCTCTCTCTCTCCCTGTCTGTCATTACATGATCTTAAATTGTTCCAAGATATTACTCTATTTCATGCGTTGTTTTTAACTTGTCTGGTTAAATCCTAAAAACAGTTGTTTCTCGTGTATTATGACGTCTTTCTGAATAAAATAGTTGTTTCTTTTATGCCCCCGTCAGACCGAGGTGGCGTCCTTACTGCGCTGCTGCGACCGTACAGCGACCAGAAAATGCACAAGGTGGCCGGCAAACGTGAACACAACGCGAGAAAATGTCCCAAAAAATGACAAACTTGAAAAAATTCGCGTTCTCACAGCTTTCCAGGCCAGATCGCAGAACCTTTGCGTTTGTTTTGAACATGCACGATTTCTGGCGTTTCCAAGACGTCTTTAGCACGCTTATGGTGATCGTGACGCGCTCTGAGACCATTTTCAGCAGTAAGGACGCCACCCCGGTCTGATGGGGTATAACCGCACACTGTAGTTGCAGCAACTGTGAAACCAGAAATTCCATGACGTCATGAAAATATGACGTCAAGTGTACATTGACGCCATCTTGGGGTCCCAAATCTACCTTTTCACGATCTATATGCCCTATTACATTGCTGTGTCGCAGTTGGCTGCCCCTACAGACAGGGATGTAAGATAGATATCTCATAGATTTCAGGCATATTAGTTTCATCAGTGAAATTTCTGGTGTAAACGCAACTGCAACTTCGTGATCGATTGATTTGTTGATTGGAGTTCATCATGTCACAATGGACCACTTTCAGGCTGCTGTATTCAGGGCTTGTCATGATACGATTTCAGAAATGAATATTTTAATAAATGTAAGGGGCTTGTTATTTGGGGTGGTTTTGTTTTTATTTCTACAACTATTTCATTATTTGAAGTGCCAACACTTCTCTAATTTGTACAATAGATCGTTTAAAACGATAGGCAACAGAACTGTTGTTCAGGTAGGCCTACCTCCGCATTCCTTCAACATCCCTCACTGCCAATTGGAAAGGGGTGGGGGGGCATAAGGTCTGTCATTGGGTTAAGGTTTGGGGTCTGTCAAGGGTCGCCTATCCAACCTCGTGGTTTTTCGATGGATCATATAAAATTTAACAATATTAGCCCCGAAATAATCTAGTTTGTGTCAGGTGGACGTTAAACCCCATTTCTCTCTCTCTCTGTCAATAGGTGGAATTTAATGTTTAAATGATGCTTAAATAGTCCGGAAATGACCTAGTTTGTGCCGGGTGGACATTAAACCCCATTTCCTCTCTCTCTCTCTCTCTCTCTCTCTCTCTCTCTCTCTCAATAGGTGGAATTTAATGTTTAAATAATGCACGCTGTTAATACAAACAGACATATAATCAATGTACATTACTATACTTGAAAAACTGTGGACTTAGTTTTAAAGATGGGTCCCCGCGTACAAACTGGGTGATTTAATCGTATATATGGACTAAAAACATATTCAAACTAATTAACTTGTCATAATTTTGCTTCAAATCCTTCTCAAACATTGTAATTGCGAAGGAATGTCCTGCTTTAAAAATTCAATCAAACCAGGTCATGTTTACGTCACGTGACTTACCTCTCTTGGAAGTCAGAGGAGAATTCATTGCATACATAAGACGGTGTTGTCTTTAATCGCTTACTATTTATTACACATATCGAATCCTAATTAAATTTTCAGATTACCCACTACCCGCGTCTTTTTCCGTCATTTTTATCTCAGAAAGTGTTGTACGTCTAACTCTTCATCAAGTTTATCAACTTGTACATCAAGCCCTCAATATTCACGTGTTCGGATGGGACGAAAAACCGAGGTCCCGTGTACACATTGGCGTGCACGTAAAAGATCCCTTGGCAGTTAGAATTCGATATAAGAGTAGGCCGTAGCACCGCTTCCCGGCAAAATTTCCCTCATAGCACACTACATGGCGTTTGCCCGTCTTCATTAGCCCAGGTTAGGAGCAGAACAGTAGGACGTTAAACCCCCCATTTCATTTCATTTTTGCCATCACGCGTGCAGAAATTCCTAATCGCCGGGCTGTTGATTAGGGGAACCCTTACATTTTTGTCCTGTATACGCTCCATGAGTGTTTTTCGGGGAATCCAGTATTTTGCTAGTAAGATTGGATATCTCTACTTTCCATATATACCAAAATTACCATACTTTTATTGGAAATAACCACCCGATAAATACTCTTCTGGGAACCCATCTTTAAATATCATATTATAATTTTCATAATTTATTATTTGTTCATGTTGGCTATATGATAGTGTTATCGTCGTTTGTTTAGTTTTAGTTATGCAGCTTTTGGACGCCATGTTGAGTCTACCATTTATATTTCAGAATCCAATGACCATAAAACTTCAGAATTTTATATCAGCGTTTGGTGCAAATTAGTGTGTGTAATTATTCGTCAAAATGACGAGAGTCCGATTTAAAAGACATTGGTTGCCACTTGTCCTAATGGGCATACCGACCCTGTGGTTACTAGCCGTATTGCGCATGTCGTTTACGTTTGTGGACAATTCGGATCTTCATGAGCACATATCAAAACGAGACTCTATCCCAGAAACAAAATTAGATAAAATAAATCATGTTAGGCGTAGGTCTAGACATCACAGGCAAAGGGGCGAATGGGACGAAGGCTTTAATTTAGTAGCGTTAGAACGGGATGAAGTAGAAGTTGTACCAAAGTTAAATATTACACGAAACAAAAATTATAATAAAACTATTTTAAAACACATTGAAAAACCTGCTAAAATAGAAAATGACGTAGTAAATATGGAAGAAGCACGAATAATCCCCATGCAGATACCGGAGAGACTGGAAAATAAAGATGACAACGTTGATGAGTCTGTCGTTGCAGTTCATCAGACAGAAATTTTGAACCCGTTCTTAAAAAGAGCCGGAAGTGAAGAACCGGGTGTTTTGGTGCCAAAGAAAGTCAGCGTACAAATAACTGAAGGTGAAAACAGGAAGTTAACATATCCAGTAAATACTGAGTCAAACGGTCCAGGTACAATTTAACCTACTCAATACAGATATTACAATATTTTCTTGAAATCTTTCCGGACATTTCCGTTTTCGCTGTCTGGAGCTAGTTTCATATTTAGGGTTTGGGGGGATTTAAGTGTCGCTCTCGAAAGTTGGTTATAGGTGGAGAGGTGCTCGTACTTGTAATGGGGGCGAGGGGAGATAAACTGCCCAGGAAAAGAACCTAGGGAGTTGAAGAAACATCTAACTGGTTGGCCTAGTACAACACATGTATTAAATATAACTTCTATACGTAAGGCATTCAGCCATCCAATCCCATAAAAAATATGTATGCTTATGTTTGAGGGGTGGGGTCCTAACTACCTGGGGTTGGATGGCCGAATTGTTAGCTCGTAAGTGCTGTATCATAAGGTCTATCACTGAGTCAACTTGCGTGGTTTCGATTCCCGGGATGTACATGACAAGGAGTAGGGTTGCCTTTCCAACCTCGTGGGTTTTGTCCAGGTCCTGAAGACCCCTACGCGCAAGCGGGTCATTGAAGTAAAATTGAACTATGTGTTGGTCCCGGAATGACCTGGTTTGTGTCGAGTGGACGTTAAACCCCATTTCTCTGGTTTTGTCGAGTGGACGTTAAACCCCATTTCTCTCTCTCCTAACTATCCTCTCGACTGAATTTCTGGGTTCGAATCCCGGCGAGGACCAATAAATTAATGACTGTATCGTAGTTATCTCCCCTGGTATTCTGCTGAACACTGTCAGATTTCCTGCTGGGATCGATAAGCATGCGATATATTATTATCAATTTCGAATGTTTAGGTGAAAACGGTGTCCCTGTTGTAATAGACCCTGAAAGACTGGATGAACTGACCAAAAGAAAAGAATATTATTATGGATTATATAATTACCGTTTTAATGAATTCGCCAGCAACTTGATCTCAGTCAAGCGTAATCTACCAGATTACAGAAATAATGAGTAAGTTGACCATTAGATTCTAATAGTTACAATAAAAACTGTTTTATATTGTCCTTTTAATTGGATCCTTTAAGATTAAATAGTGTATTTGGTACGAAATTTGTGTGTTTAATATTTTGGCAAATAAAGATCCAAAATAATGCAACTGCGTCTGCAAAATCGTGACGTAATCAAACGTTTAAGCTATGGAGATTGGTGGAAATAGTGTGATATTTTGTTGCAGATAAGATACCTCATTTCTCGACACTGCATGACTCCAGATGAGGGTGGGGGATATTATAAATAGTTCCATCTAGCGTTTTGCCACTGAATCACAGATGTGCGCATGCGTAATACATCTTAACACGACTGAAATGTCAAAAGTCATCGATAATTTTTGCAGTTTATGCTAAAGTTGTGTTGATAAACTGGAGTGGCTATTTTTTGTAGAACATTATCTTATGTTAATTAAATACGTTAATTAAATTCAGGTATTAATAAACCAAATGACATTGCATGGTGGGGCTTATAAGATCAAATTCTATAGGTTTCCGACAATTCAATTCCAAAGTGTCCAAGCGAGTATCTGGATTAGAGACATACATTTTATTATCTTGTTATTCTGCGGCCTGCTTCATAAATTAACAAACGAGTCCCCGTTGTGTTTAGCGACTTGTGATCTTACCTCTAGAAATTTTCTAATGTGTCTGCCTGTGCTTAGATTAACGACAACCAAACCATTTAATAAGTTTGAAATGTTTACACGGGCAAAATAAATGAAATGTAATGGGGTTTAAAGGCCTACTGTTCTGCACCGACAGGGCTAATCGGGCAAAATAAAACGACAGACTATCAAATTAAACAGTTGCCCCCCTTTCACGGGATCGGACCGCTATTCGTTATCAAGCATTGATTTTGTAAGGCTAGAATATACCGTTTTGTACTTGCTACTTTACACAGAAACGTTCATAGAACTTCTTATAATATACCTACACTCGGGCTCTTTTTGTATCTTATTGTATATATTACCGGCACGTCCAAAAACATTTCTAGCAAAGATGGAAGCACGTGCACCCTCAAAAAAGGTTGGCTTACTCGAATCATGTTTTTCTCGAATCGACATACACGGGTCCATAAAGTTTTTACTGTTTGTGTTATCCATTTATCTTCAGGTGTAAAAAGAGACAGTATCCTTCCCTACCAACAGTTACCATTATTATATGTTTTTATAACGAGGCCTGGTCGACTTTATTACGGACAGTTCATAGTGCTATAGACAGGGCACCGCCTAATCTTGTTAAAGAGGTCTTCCTTCTCGACGATAACTCGGACAAAGGTAAGACCTTTTAAACAGTTGGCTCTTCTTTTGTACTTTTAACTATAACATCTTTCTAAGGGCTACACTTTTGAATTATTATCTTTAAATACTAAGGAAACACAACAGCTATATTGACTTTTTGAACTCGATTCGCACGCCCGATTGTTTGCAGGTTCGTAAGTCCATTTCTCATGAACTCAATTCATTAGTGCGGTTAATAACAGGAGACCCGATACCATTTCTCAAATAACTGTGCTACACGTTTATATTTGAATAAACGTCATTTTGTTTTACATTGGAGGAATGAAATGCCAATCTTTAAATGTTAAGAATCACTCTCATATAAGGAGAAATATTGTGCTAAATATTATTCAAATCGATCAAATCTATAGCTATGGCTATTTGTTGTTAATTATGGCTATCTACCGTAAGCTATAGCTACTTATTGTTAATTATGGCCATGTACCTTACGCTATGGCTACTTGTTGGTAATTATAGCCATCTACCGTAAGATATGACTATTTGTTGTTAATTATGGCCATCTACCTTACTCTATGGCTACCTGTTGTTAATTATGGCCATCTACCTTTACGCTATGGCTACTTGTTGTTAATTATGGCCATCTACCTTACGCTATGACTACTTGTTGTTAATTATGGCCACCTACCTTAAGCTATGGCTATTTGTTGTTAATTATGGCCATCTACCGTAATCTATGGTTATTTGTTGTTAATTATGGCCATTTTCCTTAAGCTATGGCTACTTGTTGTTGCTATGGTTATTTGTTGTTTATTATGGCCATCTACCGTAAGCTATGGCTATTTTTTTGTTAAATATGACCATCTACCGGACGCTATGGCTATTTTTTGTCTGAGAATGTCGGAAGAATAATTCGTTTCTTTTCATGAAGATCGACGCCAATTATAGTTTTGTTGAATTTATTTATAAATAAGGAAGATGGTCGTAAGTTATCTAGTATATTGATACTTTAAAGATCGATGAAGAAATTGTAAATACAAAACCTACAATAAGTCGTCTAGTAACTCTATGTTTCTGTTGTAGAACATTTAAAAACTCCACTCGACGAGTATGTAGGAAAGGAACTACCAAAAGTTACAATAATTCGGATTAAAACACGACAAGGGCTGGTAAGGGCCAGAATGATGGGTGTTGCCAGGGCAACAGGAGATGCGCTTGTGTTTCTGGATTCCCATGTTGAATGTTTCGATGGTAAGAACCATTTAATACTTATTGAATTAGTTCAATAAAATTAGAGATTAAAAAAACTTTTCTCAACGACGGTAATCCGATCAAAGAAAACTTTCTATCATCGTTTCCCCCGTTCCATCGCCCCCTTTTCTTACGACAAAGCCCTAGACCTAGCAGAGGCCTTTAGGGCCCATTTTATGTTCAAAGTAGTTTAAAACGAAAGATGGGTTGGTTAACAAGGGGAGTAACTCAGTTTAGAGTAATGGGATATAGCACCGATTGATACAACTGCTATTTTTGGGCCGTACATTGACCTTTTCATCTACTTGATTATCAAAAATTCTTTTATGTGAACACCTGACACCAGCGTTGTCCCGTAATAAAAAAAATCCCGATTATACTGAAGTTGTTTTTCTTTAATTAATAAGGTTGGTTGGAACCCTTGTTACTGCCCTTGATAGAAAACCCAGAAACCGTGGTGACACCTATTATTGAAATGATCGACAGTAGGACGTTTGGTATAGCCAGTACAGTAGAGGGAAATATTGGTAGTTTAAATTTAGCCAGAATGGAATTTATTTGGACACAAGCTCCACCAAGGGTTTTAAGATTAAGAAAGTCCCCGGATGATAATTATATGTAAGTTTTGTCTGTTACATATATTAACACAGAACACAGATTTGTGGAACACGTCATTTGTAGGTTTTGTGGAATACGTCATTAAAATTTGTAGGTTTGTGCATACGCCTTTTGTAGGTTTTGTGGAATACGTCATTTGTAGGCTTTGTGGAATACGTTATTTGTAGGTTTTGTCTATTAGATATATTTGCATGGAATATTCACGCAGAACATTTGACCGGACAGCGAGCGACGTTTCAGAATACTCGAATTCCACGACAATCCGAACGATTAGACAATCTTTCGTTTTGTTTGCCACGTTCTGCGCTCCGCGTATAACATGTTTTCATTCCAATTATTAAATGTCATAGAAGCAATTGTAATTTATGTATATTTAATTGTTTTTTTTTGGGGGGGGGGGGGGAGGGGGGGGAAATGAAATGAAGTGAGGTTTCTGAATCTGGCAGGCTATTGAAGAAGTGTGTCATACACCATGCAGTGTCCTATGGGGCAAATTGTCCCAAGATGGCGGCAAGGGTTCTATTACGAAACGAAATGGGGTTTAACATCCTACTGTTCTGCTCCGACTGGGCTAATGAAGACGGGGGTTCTATTAGGTGCTCAGGTGGGCATCGGGTTTCTTCATTTTTTGCTGAAATTGGTTGATGGGCTTCTTTTTAAGTTGATTGAATCCAAGCTGGGAGATTATTACCGTTAGGACGTTAAACCCTATTTCATTATAGAGTGGATTAAGTCGTAAAAAACTGGGTATTTCCAGAAAAATGCAAATGGCGAGATTAAGGCGTTAAATATATGATTTCTTATTTGTTACCAGGTCACCAACAATGGCGGGTGGTCTGTTTGCCATCACTAAAGATTATTTCCACAGATTAGGTGGTTATGATGAAGGTATAGAATTGTGGGGAAGTGAAAATCTAGAACTATCCTTTAAGGTACGCTGTGTACTGCTAGGTTCTCATTGTCATACGATGCGTTACGATAGGAATGACCCTATTGAGTCCACGATTTGGTTCGTGCATATAAATTCGGGCACGTTTCGATCAAAACGATTGCTACGACTGACAACAATAATCCGACCTGATTGGATCCCCACGATTACTCAACGATTAAAACCACGGTTTCAATCGTAGCTGGAATCGTAATAGTGGAAACCTAGCATTAGTAAACACCAGACAGAAACTTGGCCGCTCACGAATAAGAACTCCCTGTAAAATTCATTGCGTTAGTGTCCAAAAAGGTGCGTCATACTTATTGTTTTTCAGATCACGTGATCCTACGTCACATCTGCGCTGATATATACGATATCACTTCGGTGGAAGCGGACGTTAAATACAATTATTACACACAAATAAGGTGGCTATTCCCACCGGTACCAATCGTGGTCACATCCGCCACAGAAACATGAAAAAAAAAACAGTTCAAGTCGTAGCAAGCTAAGGCAACTTCTGCCAACACAATAACTTCTATCAACAAATTAAATGTCCCGATAAGCTTTCGAAAGATCTTGTGGAATTTTCTGTATCTCGAGTTTTGACCAAGCACAATCTGCTCATAACCGAACACACACTATAAATTTATGCTTTAAGACCAAAATGGAGAAGGTGAAACAACCGATAAATAAAACCAATAGCAACATTGTTATTATTATGATTTGATTGTTAAAGTGTATTTAAACCAGGGATGAACTGAGTATGGTAGGTTCGGAAACCCCCTAAATAAGTTAAAACATTTTTTGGGGACCTTTTTAGTCTAGAATTTACATTGTTTTTGAGGAATTTGTAAAAGAATACAAAGAGTGAGAGCCCCTCACCTGGCCAGTCTCAGGGGCATATGACCCCTAGCCCGTTCCTGATTTAAACTGGAACTGGGTTCAACAATTGATATTAAAAACTTTATGTTTTAGACTTGGATGTGCGGAGGACGAATACTAATAACACCCTGTAGTCATATTGGTCACGTGTTCAGGGCGACGTCACCATATTTAAACGAAACGCAAATACCAACTCTACAAAGGAACAAGGCAAGAGTGGCAGAAGTTTGGTTAGACCAATACAAGCAATTTTTCTTTTCTGTCGCCAGAATTCAACCGGTTAGTTTTTATGTTATACTCACGGCCTTGTTTCAATAAGTTGGCTATTACCGTAGACCTAGTTTCTAGTTTGAAACTAAACAGTGTCAGTCGCGTGGTATTTTATGACTACCGGTTTTAATTTATTTTTTCCAGTTACATAAAGAAGTAGAATTAGTTCCTAGAGTAATATTAGACAGTTTGAGAGGCCTGGAATATTTTTATTGGTCCACTAATGTGTCTTGCTGTCTGATTAAAATTGTTGATGCATGTCTTGATGTCATTACTTAATGGCGGAGATATTGCCAATTGAAATCGCGAGGCGGCTGTATCAAATCGTAATAACATGCGCATGGAACACTGGGTCCGGATTCTAGGGGAATTTTTCTGTTTAGCCTATCTATAAGTCGACCCAGAAACTGGACCCGGAGTCCACATTACCACTTTACACATTACCATGAGTAGTGTAGTTAACTGTTTGTGCTTTTCAAGTACAAACCTCCATAAACTGTGTATTTCTGTATCAGCTGTGTTTTGATAGGATGTCAATAATGTCAATTCAAATCCTGTTTCCGTCTTATTTCAGGATGGCATAGGTGACATAACATCCCAGAAGCAACTAAGAAAAGATTTAAAATGTAAAACTTTTGACTGGTATATACGTAATGTTTATCCTGAGTTGTATGTACCCGGTATAGGTGAAAAGTTTGGAGAGGTATAGCCTACATGATATAACAACTGTTATTAACGATCAATGTAGAATGTCATTTAAAGTCCTTCTGGTCCTCAAGAATTGCATCTCCTAAGAAAATCATTAACGCTGGTATTCTGTTCAGTAAATCTCGTCTTGTAAACGTGGCGCAAATTTTATTACATAGAAGTGTTTTTTAAAGACTTCAGAAGCCGTCTTAGTGATTTTGTCATTAATCATTGGCGGGCGCAGAATAATTGGTTAACAGAGGCAGTTCAATTCATCGGCTACATCACCCCAACCACAAAAAACACCTTTACAAGTTTTATAAAAACAGATTAATAAGAGGGGTTTTTTTTATACTTACATACGTCATTTAGGGGGCGGTGGTGTAGACTCCCAGTACATAGTTCTATACATGTAATACATAGACCAACAGACTTGATTGATTCGTGATAATAGTCAACAGGGAGCAGAGGGCTTTAAAGATGGTATTAAGGAGGTTATATTTTCCTGAAAGGACGATTCTTGAAGCGACAATATTTTATTTACTTGCGTTTTGTTCTTCCCCTCGTTCCACAACTGTTACCCTCTCTTGGTAAGGATTGTGCTAGATCGTTGTATATAAACTCGGTATGACATTGGTGCCTTTCCGGAAGTATTACAGACAATTACAATCCCACCCTTACAAAGATACCTGAAGCAGTAAGGTATTGTGCAGTTGAGAGAATTGGGGTTTAACGTTCACAAAACTCAAACAGAACCAAGAAATGCCATGTTATTAGTGTGAGCTAAGGGTCTCTATCAGCGGACGGAAACTGTAGAACCCAGAGCCAACCCCGAGATTAGCCGAACAGAAGATTAATAAGACTTACATACCATACCGCATTATACAAACCGCGTCGTCGTTTCGGCAAAATTAAACCTCCCTAAATGATAACTTAGTGATAACCTCCTTGTCAATCAAAATAGCTTTAACCAATCATAAACCAGCTTGTAGAATGTATCATTGGTATTTGATCTTAGATAGCTCTCTCAAACCTTCCAACACTACTTTCGTTTTAAACACTGTCAAAACCCATTCTTGCTTCTCGAAAAAATGAAATTCTTTGTTACTGAAATGGTGATGATGAAACATCGGCTTGTTGTTGGTGATGATTATTATTATGACTACTTGTTACATCTAATAAAAGAAACTAAATTAAAATTATATTTTCGTATATAATTTTGGCGTATGTTTAAGTGTACGAAAGGTTTCGTGTAAAAGTAAAATAAAACCTATTCTTAAATCATTGTGTTTGAGTGGTTGATGAATCCCGCGCTGTTCTTGTACTGCTAAACATTACCCTCTTCCTCCCTTAGTATATTCTTTTCCCCCACTTTCTTCGGTGGTGTAAAATGCCTCCCCATCCCTTCCTTCTTGGTCATTTAGTTACTGGATGACTGATTCCTAGTACTAAGCCTTTTAGCTCGTATTAGATACTGCATTCACCTACTAGGTTCTTTAGTTTCTGGATGCTTGAATCTCTAGCACTAAGCCCCCTATGTCCTTTAGTTACTGGATGCTCGAATCCTAGCACTAACCCCTCTAGCTCATTTAGTTACTGGATGCTTGAATCCCTAGCATTAACCGCTCTAGGTCCTTTAGTTACTGGATGCTAACACTAGCACTAACCCCTCTAGGTCCTTTAGTTAATGGATGCTCGAATCCCTAGCACTAACCTATCTAGCTCATTTAGTTACTGGATGCTTGAATCCCTAGCACTAACCCCTCTAGCTCATTTAGTTACTGAATGCTCGAATCCTAGCACTAACCCCTCTAGGTCCTTTAGTTACTGGATGCTCGAATCCCTAGCACTAACCCCTCTAGCTCATTTAGTTACTGGATGCTCGAATCCTAGCACTAACCCCTCTAGGTCCTTTAGTTACTGGAAGCTCGAATCCTAGCACTAACCCCTCTAGCTCATTTAGTTACTGGATGCTTGAATTTCGAGCACTAACCCCTCTGGGTCCTTTAGTTACTAGATGCTCGAATCTCTAGCTCTAACCCCTCCAGGTCATTTAGTTACTGTATGAACCAACCTCTAGCACTAACCCGTCTAGCCCATTTAGTTACTGTATGAACGAACCTCTAGCACTGATCCCTCTAGGTCATTTAGTTACTGTATGAACGAACCTCTAGCACTAACCCGTCTAGCCCATTTAGTTACTGGACGCTCGAACCTCTAGCACTGACCCGTCTAGCCCATTTAGTCACTGTATGAACGAACCTCTAGCACTGACCCCTCTAGATCATTTAGTTACTGTATGCACCGGTACCTGACTACCCTGACTAATCCATCTACGCCATTTAGATACTGTGTGACCGAATCCCTAGTCTTGATCACTCTAGCTCATTTAGATGCTGGATAATCGAATCTCTAGTACTACACATCTAGTTCATTTAGATACTGGAAGATCGAACCCTAGTAATAACTATCAGGCTCATTTAGATCATTGATGATCGAATCCCTAGTAATAACTATCTGGCTCATTTACATACTGGATGATCCAATCCCTAGTAATAACTATCTGGCTCAATTACATACTGGATGATCAAATCCCTAATAATAACCATTTCTCTCATTTAGATACTGGATGATCGAAACACTGGTAATCACGATCTTTGCTCATTTAGATACTGGATGATCGAATCACTAACACTAACCTCAGTAGCCCATTTAGATACCGGATGATCTAATCACTAGCGATAACCCTTCTAGCTCATTAAGATACTGGATGATCGAGTCACTAGCACTAAGCTCTCTACATCATTTAGAGTCTTGGTGCTCGAGTTCTTATTATAGTGATAACTCATCTACGTCATTTAGATATTGGATGCTCGAATCCCTACTGATAACTCATCTACGTCATTTAGATTCTGGGAGCTCGAATCCCTAGTAATAACTTACTACGTCATTTAGATTATGGGTGCTCGGGTCCCTAGTAATAGCCATTCTATGTCATTTAGATACTGGATGCTCGAGTCCCTAATACTATCCCTTCTACATCATTTAGAATTAGATACTGGATGGTCAGAACCTTAGCACTAACCCTTTTATATCCTTTAGATTGCTTGTAATACGGCATTCCCCTGCCTTATATGGCCATTTTAAATGTGAAAGTTGAACATTTAAATTTTCAGTTAATGAATGCAGGTGTAAAGGAGTGTATCAAGGTACCAAGCGTAATGAACCGTCAATTAGAAGTGAAAATATGTAGTAAATATATGGTAAGAATGGTATTAAATGTTTACGGGGCGATACATAGAGGCATAGGAGTAATATTTAGATTACGAACTTGTCATTCTTGTTATAATAATTTAAAAATGGATAATTAAAAAAAAACATTGAAAATTTCCGTCCAATTGCTTTTATCAGAGGGGAGTTACAAATGTTTGAAGTATCGGTTGTCTATTTTAAGGGTCTTGAGACTTGATACTGAGTTTTGCAGGTGAATAAATGTCTAAATAATCATTTATACAAAAAAACTACAATATGCAGATTTAGGTCATGTGGTCGTAAATCTTTCGCCTATATTCATTCGAGAACTACTTTACTCCCTAGCGATTTTCTTCGCGAAATGGGGTTTTCTCCGGGTCCTCCGGTTTCCTCCCACTGCTAAAGATCCCTACGCACAAGCAAATTATTAAAATAAAATTGAACCATATGTTAGTCCCGAAATTACCTAGTTTGTATCGAATGGACGTTAAACGCCATTTTTCTCCCTCTTTCTAAAGTGATTCATATAATATAATAATATTATTTATTTATAAAACAGAATGTTTGGGAGTTCACGCTCGAGAATAAAATAAGATATGCTGATCTGTGTTTTGACGTCATTGGAAACAGAGTTGTCGTGAACACGTGTTCGTCAACGAGTAATTCCCAGACCTTTATTGCTAAGGAGGTATGTAAACCTTTAAAATAACTAGATCCCTTTGATTTGTACGAGAATATCAGCACACTCAATGTATATTACAAGTGGAAATGGTGATTTATAGGTAGGAATTAGGATAAACTAGGGAATATCAGCACACTCAATGTATATTACAAATGGAAATGGTGATTTATAGGTAGGAATTAGGATAAACTAGGGAATATCAGCACACTCAATGTATATTACAAATGGAAATGGTGATTTATAGGTAGGAATTAGGATAAACTAGGGAATATCAGCACACTCAATGTATATTACAAATGGAAATGGTGATTTATAGGTAGGAATTAGGATAAACTAGGGAATATCAACACACCCAATGTATATTACAAATGGACATGGAGACCTATAGCTAAGGATTGGGATAAACTAGGAATATCAGCACACCCAATGTATATTACAAATGGAAATGGATCTGATTATCTCGTAAATACGAGTTAACTATCTCGTATTCGTGATATAGTTACGAGATAAATCATTTTTTCTTTCATTTGAGTCAAAAGTAAAATTACCAAAATATTTCTGAAATGACAATCTATCTTCGTTGGAAATGTTGAGCCTATAGATAAAGTCAGTATTCAAATATAGCCGATTTTCTTTTCTACTATCGACACAGAAATAACAAAAAATAAATGAATTCTATAGATAAAGCCAGTGTTGGGGTCGTTTTATAACCGCAGTTTTGGATGGTAGGCCTAACCGTGTTTAAAACACACTATTCTACAAATCCTGAAAGTTCGATTAAAGTCATACAGTTTTAAACTTCGCTATTTATTTTTCTTTCTTTTTGTGTAATGCTAGGTTTCCACTATATATCACGATTCGCGCTACGATTGAAATCGTGGTTTTAATCGTGGAGTAATCGTGGTGATCCTATCAGGTCTTATCATATATTGAAGGGGGGGAGGGTGGATGGCCGAATGGTTAGCACGTGCGTGCTGTATCATAAGGCCTGTCATTGAGTCAACTGGCGTGGTTTCGAATCCCTGGTTGTACGTAACAAGGAGTAGGGTCGCCTGTCCATCCAACCTCGTGTGTTTTCTCCGGGTCCTCCGGTTTCCTCCCACTGCTAAAGACCCCTACGCGCATGCGAATTATTGAAATAAAATTAAATCATAATTATGTTAGTCCCGAAATGACCTAGTTTGTGTCGAGTGGACGTTAAACCCCATTTCTCTCTCTCTCTCTCTCTCTATCATATATTGAGTTCAGTCGTTACTTTCGTGTTGATCGTATCGAAACGTGTCCGAACTTATCTGCACGTACCAGATCGAGGTCTCAACGGGAATAATCCTATCGTAACGCATCGCACGACAGTGGGATTCCAGCATTACACATTTCACCATCTTGCAATCGGCATGCGTCGTAACTCTTGTTCTAGATCGTCGCATTTTCGCAATTTTCAATTCTATCATTTCTGAAAGTAATATTTAAATATTGTTGGCAATACGCTGTGTTTTTGTCTTCAGACTTATGTTTTACGATCTAATTTCATTCCATTCAAGGGCGGATCTTCAGGTCCGAATGGGGAGGGGAACAGTCATTGTAGGTCTCCATGTTTTATGGCAATTCACGAGTGGTAGATGCCATTTCCGATAATTTCGAACTCCTACCTACCCACCGCCCCTTTCATCCACGCCTGTATTCCACTGTTAGCCCTCTGTAGTCTATCTGTAGCGGATATTATACACCTTTGATAAAACCAACCACACTAAGTATTGTTTAATGATCGAGAGCGAGACATTAAGTAATATATTGAAACAACACCAGGGACGTAGTCCCGAGCTGGTGTTTCAATATACATGTATTACGCAATGTCTTAAGCTCGAGACCATTAAACATCTTAAAATACAGACACTCGCACGTGCTTTCACAGTGAAATACGTCACGCGAGTCCAATATTTCACTAGCATAAATAATGTACGATTGGCAAGTTGCCCGTACGATTATTTGAAATAATGGTACGCCAACATCAAAGGGTGACGTCACATCTTTATTTTAATATCTAATATAATATGACAAATGGGATTTTATTGAGGTTTAATGAAGCCTCGATCTACGTGAAACATTGGATCTACATGATGGTGGTGAATATGTCCCACTGGCTTTCTTGTAGTGGTCGTTGTCGTTGGCGGTACATATGGTCCAGCGTCTACAATAATAATAATAATAATAATAATAATAATACGTCCTGTTTTAAGATAGTTATTTGTCTATTATCATATAAATGGCCATCCAAAGATCACAATTTTATGGTATACAATTACCTCTTATTACTGAGTGACGTTTTGGCTAGGTTTCGCGTGTCTATTATTGCTCGGCAATAGGCAGTAATTGTGTTCCATAGGATTTTGACCTGTGTATATATCGAGTTCAATAATAAATGGCATTGCCATTGGAACAATTTCTCACATTATCAACACACCCAATGTACATTACAAATGGAAATGGAGATTTTTAACTAAGGATTGGATAAACCGGGGAATATCAGCACACCAAATGCATATTACAAATGTAAATTTTGCTACATTACGAGCATGACCCAACAATACGCTCGAAGCCCTCATACTGTTTCCTTCAGGGGAGAGGTGGCCGTTTATTATGCATAAGGAAGGGAGGGGGCACAAAACCGCATATTTATATCGTCGGGGTGGCGGTGGCACGAAGATTTGTAGCATATCTGACCCATATCTTGTATGTTTGAGACTAGTGGGGCATCATGATTATGATTATAGCGTAGTAAAAAGCATTGAGGCCAAATGATTTTCTTCTAATTGAGAGGATGTAAAAACCCTCTAAACCTATGACGCAAAGTGCGCCATTGACCCCCCTTCACATCACAGGCGACTGTACCATGCTAAATCGTAATGGACTAAAGACATAATGCTTAGCGTCAGATTGTCCATGTTACAGAAGCCCGTGCCCTACATAGACGCTGTTTCGGTTCATTGTCCATTCAGCTAAAAAAAAACATCCTCAGAGCGGTGCTTACTTTGAATTTTATATTTTATAGAGAATCCCCGTCCAGCACCATCGAAGTCAGTAACAAATCTTAACATGGCGTATCTCTTCACGCTTTGTACTGAAATAAATTTTTTAAAAAAAACAAGACAGTTAGCATACAAGACCTCTTTGATTTGTTTTTTTAAAAAGTAATAACACGGGACATTTATTTCAATGTGATTTGTTTATTGGAGTAGATAGGTATATCTCAAAATAAACGTTCAGGGCTCTACCCGTGCGACACCCGGTTAACAGTTAGAAGTACATATTTTTAAATTTCTGGTATTTGTGAACGATTATAGTCGTTAGGCTGGGACGAAAAACCAAGGTCCCGTGTACACATTGGCACGCACGTAAAGGAACCCTTGACAGTTGGAATTCAATACAACAGTAGGCCGTAGTGCTGCTTTCTGGGCACAATTCCCTCATTTCACAATGTATGGCGTATGTCCACTTTCATTAGCCCAGTCGGAGTAGAACAGATGGACGTTAAACCCCATTGCATTTCATTCTATTTGTGAGCAACCAGGCTTGTTGTGCCTTTAATCTAGGGGGTAGGATGGCCGAATGGTTTGCGTGTGCGCGCTGTATCATAAGGTCTGTCATTGAGACAACTGGCGGGGTTTCGAATCCCCGGTTGTACGTGACAAGATGTAGGGTCGCCTATCCAACCTCGTGGGTTTTCTCCGGGTCCTCCTGTTTTCTACCACTGTTAAAGACTCCTACGCGCAGGTGAATTTTTGAAATTAAATTGAACCATATGTTAGGTTAGTCCCGAAATGACCTAGTTTGTGTCCAGTGGACGTTAAACTCTCTCTCTCTCTCTCTCGCTCTCTCGCCTTTAATCTACGTGCGTGCCCTTACTTGTAAAATGTTCTCCTGTCATATCGCCAGTAAAATCTCTCTTATTATTGGTTTTACCATCAGTATCTACAACCAACACATCCGTCAACGTATCAAAATCTTCAAAATACAGCAGAATATCTTTCACCCCACTTCCGGTCTCTATCATATAGTTACATTCATTGTTATCTTCATATGAACGACCTGTTACATTGTAACAAGGACTATAGAAGGTTCCTTCTGTTGAATTTAAGATTGTAGTAACGCAATAATCCCCTGAAAACAAACAACAACCATTAGATACCGAGAAAACAAACATCAACCATTTAATACCGAGAAAAAAGACATCAACCATTAAATACCGAGAAAACAAACATCAACCATTAAATACCGAGAAAACCAACATCAACCATAAAATACCGAGAAAACCAACATCAACCATTAAATACCGAGAAAACAGACATCAACCAGTAAATACCGAGAAAACAGACATCAACCATTAAATACCGAGAAAACAAATATCAACCATTACATACAAAGGAAATAAAGATTAAATACAAATATCTTAGATTTGCGAAAAGCATCCCCATTTTACCCCGTGGTGCTAGCGCCATACAGTCTTTAGTCGCCGCTCGTATTCTCGTATTGAGGAACAGTCTAGATCTATGTTGACCACTCTCCAGTATTTATACAAATAAATTTATGTACATACAGAACATATATATACAAGTGCCAGACTGGGCCCACCTGTCCACCTGTCCATGACAGGTGGGCCTAAGCTCATTTTAAAAAAAGTGGGCCTAAGCCTATAAAGAAAAAAGAAAAAAGAGAAAGAAAAAAATGAAAAAAAGAAAGGAGAGGGGGAGGAAAGAAAAGAAAGAAGGAAAGGCTGTGTCCTGTCCTCTCCTTCCTTGTTTCCTAATGATAGTGCTCTTATGTCATTCTGTTATATAATTGTATCAGCAAATCAAAAATATGCCTTCTTCTGCTTTGGTCTGAAATGCTTGGAAAATGGGTTAGCGTTTGTCAATTTTCAAAATTTTCCTGATGGGAGACACCCCCCCCCCTTATTGCCAAAATAATAATATCAAAAACTTACCAATGTAATTATGATTTCTGATATAAACCTAAAAATACAAATAATACGAATCAGATAATATAGGATAATTTTCAGGGGTAGTATCTCATTGATTTACGTCAAAAATGAAATGAAACGGGATGTAACGTCCTACTGAACCGACTGAGCTAATACAGACGGGCATGCGCCATACAGTGTGCCATGAGAGAAATTTTGTCAAGACGGTGGAGCTACGGTCTACTCTTATATCGAATTCCAACTGCCATGGGATCTTTTAGATGCATGCCAATGTGTACATGGACCTCGGTTTTTCGTGCCGTCCGAACGACTAGACAGCTGTCTTTGCCAGGCCCTCCGGATCTACATCAAACACAAAGTGTTGTTCAGATGGAAGATAAAGTTTCATGTCATTAAATTTTCATTTTGGCTGAGTTGATTCACTATAATCGAATTCACATATTATATATTGAACATAAAAAATGTAAGCGAACTAAAGGGCGACATTCTCTTTTATAATTATCAACATATCTAGATCAGAGGAATGGTGAGAGACAGAAATCATAAACACAACTCCATGACACATTCGTTCAAATAAAGGATATCTCTATCGAAACTTACCCGTGTCAAAATTTGTGAAAAGTTATAGGCACATTGCAATCACCCCATCCCTGTTTTACTTACTTCAAAGTCCCTTCAATACAATAATACTTACCCCACAAGATTGGGCTCGAATACCCGTTAACACTAAGACAATACCCAATAGGATTATGTTGAACATTTTGATAAGCATGTCCTCGTTAAGTTTATCAACGATTGATCTGACTGTTTACAAGAACACGGGTTATTTTATTATGTTGTTTTTAATCTAGACTCAGCTGTTCAGCTGATATATAAATACACAGGGGCGTAAGTAGGATTTCGGAACCTGGGACATTACCAGGTGTTGCGAGGTCCCACAACGTTGTTATCTTGAGTGGCGCAAAGCAGAAGATGTCCTCAAAAATATATTTCAGCTCGTTATAGTTTGAACTTTTATAACATGCACTTATACTACATACAACGTAAATGATGTGCCGAGCGTAGCGATGCGAATACGTTTCACGAAAATGTCCCCGAAAACCTGACAGTCCTCTATCTTGAAGTAATTCTGAAATGACCTACATGTCCAGTTTTAGTCCAATAACCCAAACATTAACAGATTCTTACGTGTATGAAAGAAAAGAGGATCAGTAGGTTGCTCCCTGTTCCCACTTGGGCGGTTGGGTGACCAGGTGATTCAACATCTACGCGTTGGCTCATTTAAGGTCTGTCATTGAGTCAAGTGGCGTGGTTTCGATTCCCCGCTTGTACATGACAAGAAGTAGGATCGCCTGTCCAACCTCGTCGGTTTTCCCCTGTTCCTCTTACTGCCAAAGACCCCTACGCGTAAACGAACTATTGAAATAGAATTTGTGTCAAGTCGTAGCAAGGAACTTTATTGTGGTACTTTATAAATTTTATATTTCGGACTTCATTATGGTACTTTATAAATTGTTATTTTATGTCGTAGTGAGAGACTTATTATGGTACTTTATTTCAGGCCGTTTGTGGTACTTTATGAATTATGGTTTGTACTTTAATAACGACTGGAGACGGTGGGAATAAACACATTATTGATTCAAATGTTTCATATATTTGAGGGGAGTAGTGGAATAAATAAACTGTTCTACACTATGTAACTTAATATACGAAATCAATATTCTTTTAGCAGTTGACACGAAATCATATACGTAATCAAATACACCTGGTTTAGGGATGTTTACCCATCCCTAAAAGTAATATTAATGTGGACAGCTGAAATTACATCCATTGTGTGTTACATGTTAAACATTAAAATATAATGTGACTCAGGTCCTAACCACAGAACTAAATAGTAGGACCGAATTAAGCTAATCGCTCGACGGGAAAATCTGTTTCGGATTCCAGACTACACCGGTAGTATTCTACTACATGGGATATATTTAGTCTCTTTTATCGAGTCGCTTCATTACAAATGGCGCTCGAAACTATTCTGGAACGCGAGTCGTGTGCCAATTTTAAAATTTTCATTTTGTCTTAAATATTGGATATCAGAAGCCCATCTTTTCACGGTAAGATCTCAACATCAATGTTGATTTAAACTGAACGATAAATCTTGTTTGCAATGTCGAAGACTGTGGATGATATTTGAGTTACAGACTTGCCTCCTTTAAGTATTGTCGTGTGAATTCGCAATTGCCAAAGGTGCGATTAAATGGGACGCTATGGATGCCATTTCCGACCATTTCGGGCCAGTAACACCCTGGATCCACGCCTGCGAACGCGGAGATCGCATCTGGTTGGCTAACTAATACTTGAATGAAGTCGTTTATATTAAGAACGAACTCAGCCGCATTTTTGTTTTCGCGGAAAACTTTTTGACTTTAAAGCGAACATTTACAAATAGTTCGCGCAAACGATTGCGAGGTCTTTAAGAGATGCAGTTTCATCTGCGAATTTTTATTCGCTCAGGAAACCGTGGAGATTACCTCTCAACCGAGAACAAATAATACTACCAATATGTAAAGAAAATTTTCAGAAATTATAGAATTGAAAAATGTGTGGGTTGTTTTTAACTTATATGAAACGATCTCTGACAAGAATTACTACATTTATGTGTAACCCCCGTACCAAAACAACTGTATTACCCGCAATATTTAAATCACACACTTTCAGGGATAGTAGAATTGTCAAAAACTGCGAATAGTATTTTAGTTTTATGATTACTGTCATCATTCTTTCGGCTGTTATACCGGAATAGAGACCTTAGCATAGTCACTGTATTGTTGAATATTGTCATTTCAGGGCGGCCTTATCATTCACCAACCGACCCAGTTGTGTTTGAGTGTCGTCTTCCGAACGATGAAAGTGATCCTTAAAGAATGTAAGAATTTAATCCTACAAGCGTGGAGCTGGAGTTCTAATCCCAACTACATGCAGCCATTGTCTTTATTATAATAAATTATTGTTTGTGTACATTCCCTGTTTTTAGATTGGAATTAAATGGTGCTTATAGTCTCGTCAACATAATAGACCCACTTTGGTCATTTTCTGTGCATTTGGCCCGGTCATTTTCTGTGCATTTGGCATTTGTCTCAACTCTTTTTGGTATTCCAAATGCCAAGGGCATGTAAAACGTTTAGCCTCAAACATATAAGTAGCATGGTATTTTCCTGCTGGAACACGAAGAAGAGTAGGTAAAAATGTAGCAAGATTGTTAGAGTTTTTCCTCTTTAAATTTCTATAATTATTTACATCATATTTGACCAATTAGATAATTGAAGGTCCATAACCCTAGGCTAAAAATAAAAAACTATCACATTTGTGAGCAATCGCCAGACAGCAGCTTGATTCTAGAAGGGAAAAGATGTAGCAATTTCTATCAGCAGACTCGCCCCAGCGAGTCTGGCTGGATGGGGTTTGAGAGGATGACTTTAGTATTGTAATCTACTTTGCTTGTATCTATGTATCCAGCTATGATATATAAAATGTAAAAACGAACTGTTGCATTGTTATTCCTGGTAAGACAAACATCTTAACTACTGAGAAGACAAACGTCTTAACTATCTAGATAAGAAGAAGATAATACACAACGTGAAGGGGAAGCCAAAGACGACAAGTGAAAATACTAGACGATCACAAGGCTACTAAGATATGTAGTAAGAAAAGATGCATGGGTCATACGCCGGATGTGGCTATAAACTCCTGAGAAGCATGTATGGGGTTCATCGTGGAAATCTAGAATCAATAAAAGTTAAAGTAGACTGGCATCAATTCTTTACTTCCGGTTCAATGTGAGACATCTTTCAACAATCCTGGATTTGGGAACATACTCTAGATTCCAGACGTTTCTGAGACAATCTATATCATACACAAATAATATAATGTCTTTTGCACGAATGTTTGCATTTTGCACCAACAGTATCAGAAGATCTGTGTCCGCCCTAATCATTGTCGTGGAATGCAACTCTACCGCTTCAGTAACTACCTTTACCATGTCAACATTGCAACCCCCTCTTTACTCCAATTCATTACATATAGCCGCAGCCACGTGTATTTAACTTTGTATAGGTTATAGGTTAATGAAAAAAAACTCCACGTGTCTTAGAATCCATGTATATGACAGCACGCTTCATTCTATATAGAGCAAATTGCTAAATGATTCTTTACACATCCATTTGCTTGTATTACTATTTTTCCACAACATCAGGTTATGGGGGTGGGGATATTGCCCCTACACCCACAAACAAAAACAACATGTACATGCCAGTATGTAATGAAGTACTATATTATGCCCATTCGTAAATTTGGGTTTTCGGTCGCAGATTGTGAGGTAGTGGTACACCTGAAAATGGTGTAAGGAACCAGTTAATACCACTGGATATATCTACAAATGCCAGAATGACCAAATTTGCTATTTTATGACGAAATAGTAAAGGGTTATGCCCATTCATATATTTGCTTTCTCGGTGAAAGGTTTTTGTGGTAGAGGTACCCCCGAAAATGGTCCAAGGGAGCATCGGACATCTATGAAAACCATAAGACTTAGGAAGATGTCAGTTTCGTTTGTTTCTCTTACAAATTGCCGACCGACTTTATGCTTGTCTGGAGTTTTACCTTTTAAAGGAAAATAACTTTAAAAAAAAGACTTAGCATTTACCCTCAAACTTTGGGAATTTCCGGTACTCCAGACGTCACTGTGGAGGCTATACCAAATTCTTCCAGAAACGATCAAAAAATCTTTTCTTGGAATCGTTTGGGGTTTGGCTTAACTTTTTTCATATATTGACTGATCTATTAAAAACAAAATGGCATTTACTATCAAAATTCGGAACTTTACGGTACTCCCATTTTGATAAACTTTTATGATGTCATTCAATACACTCAACACTACCAGAAATAATCAAATATTTTAGGAGTTGACTGGTCTAGGAAACTACGCTGGAAAATCCCGGGAAACTTTCTCGGGCAACATGTGTATAGAAATGAAATGAAATGGGGCTTATCGTCCTACTGTTCTGCTCCGAACTGGACTAACGAAGACGGGCATACACCATACAGTGTGCCACACTGATCAGCAGTGAATTTTTCGCTAGGCCGCTACATTCACTGATAAGGATGACATCGATGCGACTTAATGAGCCAGAAATATTAACTTTTTTCCTGCGACAAATTGAATTCTAAAACATTTTTTTATGTATTGGAAAAATAAATAAAGGCGTTTGACGTATTTGTAGATAAAAACTATTTCCTATTTAGTGTAAATGGGTATTAAAATGACTAAAAGGCAGCATTCCACCCGAAGCAGTAATGTCTTATGTAAACAATGCACGCGCCATTCAGCCAATGATTGACGCCGCGTGCTGAGACGGCACGTGTTAAGGCAGTCATCTTTGACAGAGATATTACTCTAGACTCGTAATTCTCTGTGAAACAGATTGACAGTGTGCTATGAGGGAAATTTTGCCCGGACAGCGGCACTACGGTCTACACTTATATCGAATTCCAACTGTCAAGCGATCTTTTACGTGCACGCCAATCTGTACACGGGATTCGGTTTTTCGTCCCCCGCCCTGCATCACTGACAACGGGGTACCACTCTGGAAAATCTCGGCCAATGCAAGGATTGAACACCCGACCTCCAGGCTAGCGAGCCACTTACACCGGCCCCCCCCCCCCCAATCTGTATAGAACCCCGGACCGACTTTTTAGTGAACCAGCACCTAAGCGCTGAGCCATCAAAAATATAAAACGGAAGGACATTTTGGTAAAATGTTAATTCAACTGATGAAATATCTAATATTCAATTCCAAAGTACACGAGATACCTTCCTAAATAAAAGGGAGCTTGTATTAGATGACTTCTGGTGGCTTTAAGTCTGAGTGAGATTGCAGGCAAACTCCATACTGAATGAGAGGATAGACTAGCTTAGTGTGAAAAGTGAAGAGTTTTGTTGAACATTTAACTGGAGCAATTCTAATAGTATGCCGTGTATGGTAAAGTCACTATAAAGGGACTATCTGTTCAAAAGTGGTTCAATTCAGTTCAGTTTTTTACCCTTTTGAAAGCTTAAGCATTCTCGAAAAACAATGTAATATAAACAAGTGATTTTGTGGTAAAATATTTTGATGGTGCTCTTTTTAATCTTTTTTTATAAACAATATTTTTATTGAGATATTTTTCTGAATATGGATTGGGGAACAGGCACAGTCTATATTAAACCCCTATTTTTAATTTCACAGTACGCAATCCGGGAGGGTATCTACAGTTGATATTTTCGTTTTATTGTCTAATGTTAAATAATCAGAGCCTTATTATATGTTACATAAAATGAAAGCAGCCAGTGGTTGGAGTTTTAATTAGTCACACGTATAGCCAATTATAACGCCGAATCATTAGAAAATGAACACGTCTTTATCTCACTGTTAATACCAACTGTGGCCTTGAATGGTGTTGTTGTTGTTGACCATCTGGGACACGGGTCGTCGTCAAGGCTTTCTCAAGGCTAATGGCTATCCGAAGACATCGATAATATTTCCTTCATAATAGCGTTACCAATAGGCAAAAACAAGAATAACCATAATATCATACAGTCAAAAAGACCTTGAAAATCATAGATCAATTAGTCGTCTGTGTACAGATTACAAAATCATGAACAGTGTCCTCCACACTAGATTTTCAGGAGTACTGAATAGGTTTATTTATCCAGTACAGACTGGAACTGGAGAAAACAAATCTATCATTGGCATCCATTAAATACATACTTGAGTACATGAATCACAAAGGAGCATTGTGCGTTTTGATCAAAAGAAAGACTTTGACACAATTGAACATAATTACTTGCATATTCTCTTTAAACATCTAACTTTGCCAGAATATATTAAAGATTGGTTATAAATTCTATATCATGACATTAATAACCGTAAAATATTAGTCAATGGAATTTTTACAAATGAAATAAAATTATCTCGCTCTGTAAAACAAGGGCTTTCCTCTATCCATGTTGTTATAGTCGATAGCTATTCACTCCTTCGGATCCAATGAAATGGGGTTTAACGTCTTACTGTTCTGCTCCGACTACTGGGCTAATGAAGACGGTTTGGATCCAATATTAACAACAATAACAATATAATTGTCATGAAATCTTGTGATATCTTCGCAATTTTAACACCCCCGACCTCCCTTAATTCTACTATTTCAGATATATCAACCATTGGCAAATGTATGGATCCAATCTTAATACAAACAAAACAGAATAGTTAAACATCAACGAATTTTCCCTAAATTTAAAACCACAAGACCGTTAAAATTTTGGGAATTACTTTTGAAATTGCTCAATCTGATTAAAATACAGATCTATATTTCGTTTCGTTTTTTTTATACTTTCTATGGCCTATACTACATGAAGATTTGACAGGTTGTACTCGAAGGTCGTGTCAGGGGTCGTATGAGCGGCTGTTGACGCTATGACGTCCGATATTGATTAACCAATCAGCGTTGATGTTTCTAGTGATTTACCCACACAGTTCGTTTCGTTGGCTTATCCCTCACTTCAACCAAAACGCCGGTAATATAACAACTCTTCCAGATCTTAGTGTAGTAAAGACAAGTAAAACGAAATTTTGAACTATAAAAAAAAACGAAACGAAATAGGATCTGTGTTTTAATCAAATTGGAAATTGTTCAAACAATGTACAATTGGAAGACGATTCCTGACACATAACTAGATTGACTTAGTACAAGAAGACATATTAACTCTCAATTAAGTCATACCAAATCAGCTGGAATATATAAAGAATAACTACCTTCGCCATACAGACCTCAACTAAACCTTACTAAAAACACAGCAATATCCGTATATTCTCAATTAATAAATAACATAACACATAGGGTGACATCATCTTTTTTTAAAAAAAAAACCGAGGCAGTATGCATAACAATGTTGATATAGTCACTTCACTTTCGTCATAGCAACAATAGAAAATCAAAATATGAAATATTTACACAAGCCTGGTTTGTATTCGTGTGTCATATGATATTTACCACGAATCTTTTAGGATAATAATAGATAGCAACAATATAAATTCAAGTCATATAATATTCATATCTTTCATTTCAAACAAAATATATAAACATAGGCGTAGGAGCTCAAATTAATTCAGTGGCATAAGAGAAAATTGCCCGAAATCAATACCGTTTTTTCGTGCATACCTATCATAAGAGAGCTTCGGACATATTTTCGGGCATGCAGTGGACAAGAAAAAGACGAGAAAATACTTTTCGGACAGTGTGGATCTCATAGAAATAAGTTAGTTATATTTTTTCTCTAAACATTAATAGAAAAAAAAGGTTGTCGAATTTTTCATTGCCCGAAAATAAATTGCCCCCCTGCCCCCCCCCCCCCCCCGGCTCCTACGCCTATGTATGTAAATTATCACAAGAGAGCTTCGGGCATATTTTCGGGCATGCAGTGGACAAGAAAAAGACGAGAAAATACTTTT